TTGTTCTTGTATTTGTCTTTCATATTTCTTTGGGCTAAGAATTTCTAGAACTTTGAGGATTGGTTACATTCCAATTCATGAGTTATGAGTGCAATTTTTTTTTCCTTTTAATATTTTTCTGTATACATTACTAGTTGGAATTGAAACCACTGTGGAAGTATGGGTGCTGGGATTCCTTCAGGGGTGGGCTGCTGTGAGTTCGTGCGGGTTCGGGAGAACCTAACACTCTGCCCAGTTCAGAAAACCCCCAAATCCCACTCCTGGCTGATCCCGCCCACCCCTCCAGGAGACCCCACGTGGCCGGTTTGGGATGTCAGGTAAGTACATGACCCACTCGGAGGTTTGGGGAGGGTGAAAAATGGGCCTCCCTGAAGTTTTGGAAGGTCAGAAATGGGCCTGTTTCTGGCCACTGGTGGGCCTCCAGAGCTTGGGGGAGGCCGTTTTGACCCTGCTGGAGGCATGAGGAAAGCCTCTGGAGCCTGGGAGGATGAAAACGCCCCCCTGCCGTGGTGCAGGAGGCCAATTAAGCCACACTCACCCAGCAACAGGGCAGAGAACCTGTTGCTAAAATTATGGAAGCCCACCCCTGGATTCCTTATTCTGTTGGATGGGTAGGTGGTTTGATATTAAGAAATATTCTTAATGAAATTAACTTGCACCTCTGTTCTGGTTGGCCATTAATTCCTGGCGTGTGTGTGTGTGTGTGTGTGTGTGTGAGTGTATGTGTGTGTTTGTAGATTTTCACAGGTGTAGGTATGCTGGTCTTGTTGTATTCAGGTCTTTTCCCATGTAAGATTGAGATTGTCTTGGCAACATTTCAGTGAGGTCTCATTTGTCATCTTCAGACTGGGTTTTGTACTTAAAGTGTGATTGGAGCTTGATGGGGTGGTGGTGGAGTGCTGGCTTTGTTTCAGTAAGTGAAATGATTGGTTGTGTGGTTGTATCATGATTGGTAGATTGGTGCTGATTGGTGCTGGCTGTGTGTCTATTGTTGTTTCGTGTTGTAACGGCCTGGGTGGTGGGTGGGGCTTGCTTGTTGACTAGGGCTGGTTTCTAGATGTCTGGTAGGCGGGAGATATCATCACGTTTATTCATTCTCTATTTTGATAGCTTCCATAATTATTCTCATGTTGAAGTGTTCTGTTTTGAAGATTAACCTGGTTCCTTCAAAATTAATTTCATGTCCTGTAGCTTTAAGGTGCTAGAAAAGGGTAGTTATTTAATAGTTATAAAATTTAACTTTTTGGGGGCGTGCTTTTCAAGTCTCTGACACACCAGTATTATCTCTGCTTTTCACAAATGAACTCTATTGAGTTCATTGGAGGTTAATCTCAAGTGAATGTGTTAAGAATTGCAGCATAAGGACTAGGCTCAGTTTGCTGTGGGCAATTATTTGTTTTGGAATAATTTTTACATTTTTATTGAATACATTATACTGTTTCGCTCCATTGAGCAAGTTATAGATGTAGACTTGTTTTTTTTTAAATAACATAATTTGAGAGACATGTGTGTAAGTATATAAAACAAACTCTATAAATGCCAGTCTGTGATGAGGGTAAAGTATGATGGAGGAACTACTAAGTCTTATGAAGAAGTCTGGATTAGGTTCTCCCTCCCCATTTGCACACAATTTCCATGCTGTTTTTTAATAACTTGGAAAGGTATTTTTCCTCTAGAGGACAAGAATGTTTTATCATTCATAAACTGCCCATAAGTTGGATAGTTACCATACTCTGACAATTGTATGTTTAAATCTGTTAAACCTATCAAGACATATTGAGTAAGGCGAAATTAGTTAAAAGCAAAATCTGTGGTTACCACATTCTGAATCTTGCTTTGTGAAACAATAAATTTAAATTTCCCAACTTTCCAGAAGGTAGCTCGATATAACTTCTAACTTCCATCCATTCAACTTCCATCAGGAAGAAAATTACCAGTTGCTTGGCTGGCTAGGTTACCAAATAAAACATAAAAAAGAAGACTAATTCTTTTATCTTCTGGTCCAGCCAGTTTATTGCCAGTCAGAGCTTTGAACTTGTCAGTGCTCTAACTTGAAAATAAGATTAATGTGTTGTACATGCACTCAACAGGAGTTGAATTTGACTTGAGGGAGTCTTTACCCTTGCAATTTACACTTTATTATTGTGTAGTCAATCGAAATGAGATGCTCTGTCTTCCAGATATGCCATTTCTAGCCCTACGTATGGGTTAGGAAGGAATTTGATCTGTTCAAATGAATTTGAAGAAAAGGTTGTAACAACAACTATTTCAGAATATTTGAACTCTTCTAAAATGAAAGAGAAAAGGTGTCACATTAGGTCTTGCACACACAAAATTGCTTAATGAAATGAGTAACTGGGATTAATTTGCTTAGCTTAATCTTAAGCAGTAGAATTATCTATATGTTGTTGAACATCTGATAAGGAAATCACATGGCAAAGCCCATCTGTTCTATTACAAAAAAGCCAGGTAAGCCACATTTGGGTATTTTCGTTGCTTTTTTTTTTTTTTTTTGTTAAAAAAAAAAACATTGAGACTTATGTTCAAACATGGCCAACTTTAAATTCTGCTTCTTATGAATTACTTAATTAGAACTGGTTATTGTGAATATATTCTTGTACATTTTTCATGGCTTCCATTTCATTTCTGGATTTTGTTAGAGTGTTGTATTAATTTATAAAGCCCTTCACTGCTTTATGTTTAAAAGGGATGTGGTGGCTCAGTGGCTAAGATGCTGAGCTTGTCGATCAGAAAGGTCAGCAGTTCGGAGGTTTGAATCCCTAGTGCTGTGTAACGAAGTGAGCTGTTACTTGTCCCAGCTTCTGCCAACCTAGCAGTTCGAAAACGTGTAAAAAATGCAAGTAGAAAAATAGGAACCACCTTTGGTGGGAAGTTAATAGCGTTCCGTGCACCTTAGGTGTTCAGTCATGCCGGCCATATGACTATGGAGATGTCTTCGGACAGCACTGGCTCTTCGGCTTTGAAACAGAGCACCGCCCCCTAGGGTCGGAAATGACTAGCACATATGTGTGAGGAGAACCTTTACCTTTACCTTTACTGCTTAGGACTACTCTAATATTTGACAGTGTGTTCTTATCTGCAATCTAACATAATCTTCACCTTCTCGGGGGGTGGGGTTGGGGGGTACCTATAGCTGAGATGAGGCAAGCAGCTATCAGAGAATGGACTTTTTCTGTAGCTTCTGCCAGCCTCTGAAATGCCCTTTACTGACAAAACCTCCCCCCCCCCCGGTAAGCATTTAAATTACTGTGTTGATTTGTAATACACTGTTGTCAAGAAATATTAATTTCGGCTGGTATTTTTATTGTTTTATTGTCTTATACTGTATATTTGTACTGTTTCAATGTTTTATGTGGGTTTAGTTTGTTGTAAATTGCCATGGAAAAATGTTTTTTTTAAAGTAAATAATATAGAGCCTTTTGGCTTTAGTTTTAAGAGCATTAGACCACTTTAAAAATAATATTTGATTATGATGTAAAGAATATTACTAGCATTGGGCAAATTGTGCTGATCAAGTTCTTTATATAAGTAGCATATAATGTAAGCATGAGTTTTCTTAGTCTAAAAGTATTTGGTATATATTAATATTCCAATTTTTCTTATCTTTTATTTGGCATTGGAAACTTTAATGTATTAGTATTTTCAAAATATAAACAGTATAACACAGAACTCAAAAAAAGTTGCACACATTACTTTGGAAAAGTTTAATAGTTATTAAATAATATGTTATTTATCTCAATATATTAATAGAGTGGCTATAACTTGTTTCATAGCTTGTTAAACAATTTGTTCCCAACCCAGATGCTTTCTATAGTTATCGTCATCAACTTGGATTGCCAGGATTTCAAAATAACTTATGTGTGCCTTTAAGAGGTAATACAGGTAATCCTCGAGCTACAAATGTAACGAAGCCTGCCAATTACGTTTGTAACCCGAGGATTCATTGGTGTGAATCACGCGAAATGAATGTGATCATTCCCTGCTTTTGCCTACGCATTCACTAATCAAATGTGCAGGTTGTTAAGTGCACATGAGGTATCGCAGGGTGGGGAAGGCCATGAGGGGGGCTAGTGATGGAGCAAGCTACATGCTTCAGATCACCCGGTCCTCTCCCGACCCACTGAGATACTTTATGCTCCCTTCCCTCGGATCAATTTCTCCCCCCATCCTGCCGCACTGGGTCACTTACCTTGTGAAGATCTAGCGAACTCTCTTCTTTCCAGTCTCTCTGCTGTGGTTTCTTTGCCTGCTTGCAGTCTCAGCGCGAAAAGTGTTTGCCAGCTGATGAGACTTTGGAGCAGCAAAATTGCGTCCCATTGGCTTGCAAACACTTTTGGCGCCAAGACTGGAAGCTTCTGAGGGCCACGATCTTGTGCTACTGATCTTGCATGGTCTCGCACTACAGTACTTTAGGCCTCTGTTTTTGTAAATTGAAGCCTGTACCAGATCCACAGCAAAAGGCTTTGCAAACGGAGGAAAAGCCTCACCATTTGCAAAACCTTTTGCCATGGATCTCATGCAGGCCTTGATTCGCAGAGAAAAGAGGTCTAAAGTGCTGCATAGTGTGAGATCATGTGAGATCAGCAGCGTAAGATCTTGCATGATCTCGTAATACTTTAGGCTTCTGTTCTCCATGAATGCACCGAAGTAGCAAAGGAACAAACATCTCGCTAGATCGGCATAAGGTAAGTGAGGCCCAATGCCTGTGGAGACCCAGCGGATGGGAGGAATAGGCAGGGTGCAATGTTGCAATGCCTCTGCAGTCGTCTGTATGTATGAATGACTGCCGTTGTGCTGTAGCATTTGTAAGTTTGGGACTACGTTGTAAGTACTTTGGGATTATGTCATAAATTTAAACAGTCGCTATGTGAACTGTCATAACTCGAGGATTACCTTTATTATGCCATTTTTTAGTTATAGAAAGTGTCTTTATAAATAAATCTTAAAAGTCTTTTTCTCCCCCCCCCCTCTTTTTTTAGTCAGTGGCAAAGACTGGACGATTGGTCATCACTCATGAAGCACCTGTTACTGGAGGTTTTGCATCAGAAATTAGCTCCACAGTGCAGGTAATTCCTAAATTTATTGAGCTCTTTTCTGAAGAAACTCAACTTGAGTGGGATTTTCACAGGTAAAAAGAATACATTTTAAGATACATATTTTGCAGTAACCTTCCTGGAGTGGGGTGGGAATGGAGATTTTACAGTATCCGTCCCTTGCCACACCCACCAAGCCATGCCACGCCCACCAAGCCGCGCATGCGTACCCACCGCCTGTGACGCTCCAGCTGCTTGGAGCCATATGCCCCATGCATGTGCTTAAATGCCTCGGTCAGCTCAAAAAGAGGTAAGGAGAGTGGGCGATGGGCCCTCCGGAGTACCGTACCGGAATGGTACCTGGTGCTCTCAGCAGGCACCGGTATGGCCTGTACCAGGGCGTACCGGTTGTACCATACCACTGTAAACAATAGATAGTAATGCTCCCATAGTCAAGAGGAAAATAGTAATATTGGGTTGAATGCAGTCAATGAACAAACATTATCAATGAGACTTTGAGGATACTCTTTTAATATGGTTATTATTGATTGAACACATTGTAACTGATTCAAAAACAAAAGATGGAAGTGAAATGCTGCCCTGGTGGAAATGGCAACATCCAAGATACCTTATTGTTCTGACCCCCCCCCCCACCTTGTCCGTTCAAAAACGAAAGCCAAACAGAACTTCAAAGGAATACTTTTATCAGTCCTGGCTCTTGCTGGCTGCGAGCCCAAAATAAACAAAGATAAATGCTCTGGCAAAAGTAAACTACAGCAAAACAGGATTATATAAATCAAATCACTTATCCAAGTGCTTTCTCTCGATGGTTGCAAACAAACGGAGAACTTGACTAGAACAGAAATGGAACGGAATTGGAACGTTGACTTCTGCAACCAGGGCATGCACCATCCGTCTTTTATCTGCAGGAGGAGATCCTAACGAGCCACAGCTGCTCGTTATCCTCTCCTGTGAGTCAGTCAGCCCTTCTCCTGCGTGCATCCCGAAACAACTCACAGGAGGTTTCTGCCGAGTCACAACACCTTATTATCCAAAATATTTCCTTACACGCATTCTTAGTACTAGAATTTAAAAGTAGACCATGATCGTTATTAGCAAGTCGGAAAGGTACAGGAATTGATGGAATATCTATGGAGTAAAGGGAAGCAGCAGAAGAAAAACCAGTAAAGATTCTAACCAGCAAATCTGACAAACAGTATACAGTTTTAATATCTTAGCACACCACCTACAATCATTTCTGTGAGATGGGGAGTCGTATAAATTATGTAAATAAATAGATAGACAATTGTAAGTGGTTGCTACACAACTTGTATTTGGAAGGCGGGGAATAATCTTTCAGTGTCATTCTGTATCCAACAATGTTGGCAAATAGAGAAGTTGGACAACTTTCTCAAAAAGTGACAGAGAAAATCTCGGTCTATTGAAACTATCTCTAAATCAACTTGCATTTCAATTTATTTGTGGCATTGTATTTTTAAAATCTGAACATTGTGATCTTTCAAAGTTATTTTTGCTACTTTTTTTAACTGATTGATTATATCGGTCATGATTGCTTTTCAAGATCATTTCATCCTATAGAAAAAAAAATAACACTGTTCTGCTCTAATAATTATGAAAAAAAAGTTCTTGAGAACTTACTCCGCATTTGGCTTCATAGTGTTTATAAGCTTTAGGTTACAATCCTAAATTTACTACATCTGTTCTTTATAGCATTCTGTGGTAATGGTAGAAAACCATTGAAAACTGTAGATATGCTATTCTGTGAAAAATGCCTGGGGGGCTGGGTGGGTGGGGGTGGACTCTACCAAATGCGGTGGGAGAAATCCTGCAGATTTCTTTACCAGGCTGCAATGAGGTTAGGAATCATGTGATCCAGGAGTTTCTGGGGGTCATATGCTTCCTTACTCCCTGCCTTGGCCCAATAAGGGCCACGAACAATACCAGCTGTGCAGGTTTTTTCCCCTACTTATGTCAAATGGTCAAGAAGTAGAATACCAGGAAAAATATCCACTCTTCCTGTTTCTTGCTTGGTGTCAAGTTCAAAGTAGAGTTTTGGAAATCCTTTAGACAAGATCCTTTGATTTTATTTTTTTTAAAAACACAACAGAGTGTTTATAATAATCCTTAAAAGATAAGTGCTTTGCTAAGAAAAATGCAAAGTGGAATGGCTATTAATGTTTAACTCTCTAAAGACAGCTGAGAGCAGTTGCCAAAGTTGCTATGGAAGCCTGGATAAAGAGATCCCTATATATTATGAAGCATCTTTTTTTTTCTTTAAAAAAAAATAAAGATTTACAAAGTCTTAAATCATAAGAGTTTAGGAAATGGTGTTTCCTGTTTCAAATTTTTGTTTCATCTTATAGTTTCTCCCTTCTCCTGTAGATATATCATTGTCATTTTTCATACAGTATATAAAAATAAGATACATTTGATGTGCGATTTATGAAACGTATTCACAGAGGAATGTTGCTTTAGGCGTGCAGAAGAGCTGATCTTATTAATTTCTAACATATATTTACTTGACTGTGGAAGTAAGGTTTCAGTGTTAGACATGTTGTGTGTCATGAATATAAAAGAAAAACAGTTATAAAAACCATTTTTTGGATGAAATGCATAGTAAGAAAGCCAGAAAGTCTCTGAAATTGAAGCTGTTTTTTTCTTTTTCTTTTCTTTTTTGCACATGGAATTAATAAAACTTATATCATGTCCAGTTAAAATAAATTACACATTTTCATATCTTTATGTTGTTCAGATTGTGAGAAAGAAATAAGGCATCCGTATTTTGAAGGATGAAACAAAATTACAATTCTTGCAATTTACGATATGGATGTTGTTTTGCATTTTATATACGTGTTTGTGTTGAATATCACCATATAATCAATGTGTATCTTGTCTGACCAGAGACGCTATTTATTTTATCTTTATTAGAGACTAACTACTCCTAGGTTAAATGATATAAGCATTAAGGTCAATTTATAGTCTTTTCTGTTTTCATCTTTTCTGTCAGTATAATTAATGGATTTTGTTCAAGGTTATAGTTGTTTGAAACAAGAAGAATTATGTTTTATTTGTCTTCTAATTGTTTTGTTCTTAAGTAATATGACAAAGAGAAAAATGATTTTATCTGATATTTTGGCGTGGTGTTTTAGTTTTGAGCTCACTGTGCATGAATTTAAGCAGTGAGATCTCATTATATTTGTGGAATTTCATGTGACTTAACATTTTCTTATTGGCTGAGACATTCTTCTCTTGCCTTGTTACAATTCTTTCCATATTGATTAGATAGTTCATACTTATTATGCTTCTATAACCTATAACAATGGCTGAAATTACCATGCTGTAAAAAAAAAGTTAACTCTTGGGTCCAGATATGATGCATACTTACCTGCATCTCGTGTCCTTGTGCAGTAGAGCAAGAAATATTAGGTAATAAATACCCATGCGTTCATATAGCATTTATGTGCAGGTGCTAGATGTCAGCCACAGTTTTTGATTTCCTTTTATGTGGAGTTGTTCTCTTTTATGTGGACAAAATTAAAGCCTGAAGCAGTTGAATGAAGATAGGACTGACATATTAATTGTTAATTATACAGTTTGAATGACACAGAGTTTGAAGGATGAAATTTGAGACACACTAATTTCCAAATCTTCATGTTTCATTATAGATAAGCAGCCAGTATTAAGGTCAGTAATAATAAGTTACCTGTATTATGTGCATGCAAGAATCTAGGCTTATGGGCTAAACCTGTAGACAATGATAAGACTCATTTCCCCAATTATCATTGAAGTTCTTGGCAAACTAGTCAGACAAGCAGAGAAAAACTAGAAGTTAATCTGATCAAGGATGGTTGTGAGTTCAGCTTTGAGCCTACGTTGTAATGGTAGTGTTGGAAAAGCACTCTTTTTTTCCCCTTATTGTGTTGGGCTTTTAGCTTTTTACCTTGTTTGGGTAACCAATTCCTAATTAACAAAAGAATAGAATAAGAAAGTTGAAAGGGACTTTGGAAGTCTTCTAGTCCAATCTCATGAACAAGCAGGAAACCCTATATCATTTCAGATAAATGGTTGTCCAATCTTGTCTTAAAAAAACTGCAGTGTTGAAGCATCCACTACTTCTGGAGACAAGTTGTTCTACTGATTAATTATTCTAACAGTCAGGAAATTTCTCCTTAGTTCTAGGTTGGTTCTCTCCTTGATTAGTATAGATTAATTGGGAAGAGAATTTGTTTTACAAAGTATGTTGTGTGGTCTTCTTGTTGTCTTGACACTGTCCCTCTATTGATACAGCCCAGCATTGGCAACTGCAGCACATTACTGGCTCATACTTGAGTGGTAATCCACTAGGACACCTAGAGCCCCCTCCCACAGTTACTACTGTTGAGCCTATTCTATACTTGTGCATTTGGTTTTCCTTTTTGTAAGTTTAGAATCTTCCTTTTTTCACCATTGAAGTATATCTTGTTGGATAGGACCCAATTTGTAAGCCTATTGAGATCCTCCTGAATCTTGTGCCTGTTTTTTAAAGTGTTGGCTGTTCCCCTCAGCTTGGTGTTATCTGCAAATTTGTTGAGTTCCCCTTATGTTTCATGGAGATCATTTATGAAGATGTTGAAGAGAGAAATCTAGAGGCATCCCACTGCATGCTTCCTTCCATGTAGATGCACTTCCATTGAGAACTATCTTCTGAATACTTGATGTGATTATTTAGCCTATCATTCTGTCAGTAGATGTGGTTAAATACTTACTTTGTATTTAGGAAAGAAACATGAAATTAATATGTCCTATATGTCTGATAGGAAAATTTCTAGGAAAATTAAAGTACTGTGTGATCAAATGACTATGAAATGACTATATTTTCTGCATTGAATGGGGATATTTATATTTGAAAGATTATCATATATTCTTTTACAAAGAAAATGCCTTTTACTTACTTTTAGCAGAAGAAATTGATTTAGTACAAAATATAAGGCTAACACATGTGCTATAATGTTTTAGAAATAATAAATGGATTT